CCTGCTCGAGCTTCAGGTGCGCAATCACCGCCGCATCCTTGCGTGCGTCGTCACGCAGCCAGAAGAGCGGGTCGTTGCGGCGCCGCGGCGGGTTCATCGGGTTCGGCCCGCGGCTCTCGCCGTCAGTGTGGCCGAACACCACCTCGTGGTCCCTGTGCTCCGCGATCGGGCCGCGTGCTGCTGACATGGCAGGGGTGCAATACGATGTGTCTGTGTCTGCCTTGTGTGTATTGCTGTTGGTGTTGTTGCAGGCTGTGGTGGTTTGCGTGTAGCTTGGCTTATTATTATTATTATTATTATTATTTGTTTATTTTTGTGCGGCAAGGCACCAGAAGGGTGAAACGGAACAACGCGAGATCAGGGACGCAGCAACGGGGGAGGGGGCCGCCACGGCGCGCGACAGAGCGAAGGGTGGGTGAATAAGAAGTAGTAGTAGTAGTAGTAGTAGTAGTAGTAGTAGTAGTAGTAGTAGGAGGAGGAGGAGGAGGAGGAATGGGAGGCTGCAGGCTTTCTCCTTCTCACTCTATCTATCTCCCGCTCTCTCTCTCACACACACACACTCATCCGCTGTACATCCATCACGGCAAAAGCATACGCAAAATGAACACATCCCGCCACAGCAACAACAAGCAAACAATGACACAAAGAGATCAACAACTTCTGCTCCTCCTCTCAGCACCAACGGGAACGCACGCTCTCTCTCTCTCTCTCACACACACACACACACACACAAACTCAAGCAGCTACACAAAGCGTCTGGGAACGACAAAAGTGGCCACAGCTGGCACCATACACGCGCGCCGGAAGACAACCACCACCAACAAAAAACAAAGGAACGGCGCCAAGTGGCAAATACACCCGATGTCCGCACATCCTTCTTCCCCCACCCGCCCTCCTGCCACGCCGCGTGCAGCATATCCCACAAAAGAAAGCGCCACACCCCCCGTTAATTCTTACGGCGTGTGACGTGGTCGTAGATGGTGACCTGCACGTAGTCCGGGCAGTGGATGACGGTGCGGTTGCTGTTGTCGCCAGGCGTGGGGGCGCGTGGGTCCACGTTGATGGTCTTCCGGTCGCGCTTGTGCTTCATCAGTAGCCCCATCTCGTTGTCGGCGAGCACCTGAAACGTGAAGCTGTTGTTGTAGAACAGTGTGTGCGTCTTCCAGTTGTAGTAGCTCAGGTCCGTGCGCTTCGGCGCGAGCTTCTTACGCCGCGCGAAATACTCCGCGAAGTCCTCCGTCTTGAGACGGTGGCCGTAGTCGATGTACGCCGACACCTCCTGCCCCCGCACCACATCCCGCAGGAATATGATCGTCGACAGCTTGCCGTTGCGCACCAGCTCCTCGCGCTTCGCCAGCGCCTGCAGCAGCGGCGCGTCGTCGAACTTGCGCCCCGCGCTGCACACCACGTCGGCCGCCTCCTCGCGCTTTGACGGCCCCTCCAGCGCGACCAGCCGCGCCGCCTCGAAGTCCTCGCGGCTGAGGAAGTCCTTGCCCTTGTAGCCGAGCTCCACGATCTGCCGCGCGATGTCCTGGTCGCCGAAGTAGAAAAGGTCCTCCGGCGTCACCTGCTGGTCGAGGTACTCCTCGTACGACGCGAAGTCCAGCAGGTTGCGGTCGAAGAGGTCGCGTTCGCCCTGTGGCGCAAAGCTCATTGCTGCTGCTGCTGCTGCTACTCTCGTGTCGCTTCGTCGGTCGGCCTGCTCGTGCGGCAGGAAGCGCGGAATGCAAGTACGGACGTATCTACGGAGGCAGAGCAACGGGAGAACGGAAAGCAAAAAAACAACAACAACAAAAACAACAGAAGATAGAACGGTGTTTGAATGGCGTCCATCCGAAAGCGATACCAAAGCGCACAGCCACACACACAGCCACACACTGCATCTCAGCGCCTATTCGCTCGCCTTGCAAAGAAAAACTGCTTGCAGTGACGATAAAGCACAACATCGGTGCGGTGACATGCGGCCAGCCCCACGTCCGTGTGCATGTATGTATTGTGAGTGCCCGCACTCCTTCGCTGTCCCCACCCCTACCATCTCACACAGATGGCGGCGTCCACGCGTGCCGGAGTGTTTCCCGCGCAGTAACAAGCTCCGCGAGGAGTGCACGCGCCTTCTGCGCGGGAATGCGAATCGTGAGGCCCCCGCGCAGCCGCCACTCCACACCGCACTCCGCGAGTTCTCCCTCACCCATACCGACATCATCATCATCAACAGGAGGAGAGGAGGGGATTGCGGGTGAGGACTGCTGCTGCTGCTGCCTCTGCAATGGCCACCGCCTCGTGTACGGCTGTATGTCGAAGGGCTGCGCAGCGCCACACTCCTGCTGGAAAGCGCGGGCGCCAAAGCCCATCTCGCAGACCACCAGGCGTCGCGCCCAAGGGCCGGCATTGGGCTGCACAAAACTCCCACAGGCGATCGTTGGGGTTTGGCGCAGCAGCATTTCTGCCAGCGCTCCGCGGTGGCGGCGCACAGGTGCCACAATCGCCACCGCCGTCGCCTCGCTGAGGCCGAGAAGCGTGAGCTCCTCGACCGCGTCGCGCTGCGCCACGTCGTACTTGACAATGTTGCGTGCAACAGCGTGAATGGCGGTGAGAGCCTGCGCGACTCGCGCGACGCCAAACGCCAACANTGCGCCACGTCGTACTTGACAATGTTGCGTGCAACAGCGTGAATGGCGGTGAGAGCCTGCGCGACTCGCGCGACGCCAAACGCCAACATCTCCCGCTGCGCAAAAAAGAGTCGGTTCTGCGCATCAAACTCATTGAGCTCATCCATGAACTCAAACTGCTTCTGCTCGTCATCAGCCGGCGGCGAAGGCGAAGAGAGAGCAGCATGATGTCTCGGGCCTCCCCTGGCGGTTGTTTGTGCCGCGTTGCCGCTACTGCTGCCGCCGTCATTATCACCATCATCTCGGGGTGCCACGAGCAGCATGATGGTGATAGCGTGGTCCGCCATCCTCGCCGCAACGGCAGGGTCTGCGTCCGCCACCACCGCGAGCCGTGCCACCAGACTGTCGGGGCAGCACAGCCCGCCAAAGAGTTTCAACTTCATCTGTGACCAGCAGCTGCAGCGCCCTTGACTTGGGCGCACCTGTATATATATATATATATATATAT